TAGTGTCACATCTCATAATTTTTTATCTCACCCAAGAGATGTGAATGGAGTCACAGCACAAGCTCTGTACCAAATTTCTTTCATCTCTCTCTCTCTCTCTCTCTCTCTCTTGACATTATGATAATTATAATTTCGTCTTACATTTTAAAGGTGAATCATTTTTCTCTTTTATAGATTCTCTACTTCTTTCAGAAAAACATATTCATCCCTTGAAGTTATTTATACAAATGGGCAAGGAGCTGAGGGGCCTTCTTTACTTCATTATATTACAGGTTCTTGATTAAGTTGAGAAAAAATGCGCTCCTTGGAATCATACTTTTCAATGAGGATTGCCCATTAACAGTTTTTGTAGCATTGTATGGATTTAACTTGGAATATGACAACTTTACGTAATCTAATATTTCTATCTTCATGGTTATGTAGTTGCAAGTTGTATATTTTAATTATTTTTTGTTGTTAAAGTATTCTCTACTTACTTTAAGCTGAGACTTGTTTTGTTTTCAACTGAGAATACGGGAAACAACACTTTTAAACAAACAAAAAATTTTCTTCATATTTCATTATATATGAATTTTTTTTTCATGTGAGCTATTGAACTATAAAAATTCAAACATCATGATGTGAAGTATTTAATGCTGCATTTAATTTAATATTTATTTTACTTTATTTCCCGTTATGGTTTGTGATAATCTCAAATTCTCAATTTTCTCACTATGAATAATTGTTTTTGCTATCGAGTTTATATTAATACACTATCTACTATAAAAATTAGGATACATATGATAGAAAAGAAAACATTCATGCTCATTCAATTATTAGTAGATCCTCCCCGAGAAGCAATTACTCCCGCAATTCTCATGAGCATACTTTCTATAAATCCTTGTAGGAAAGCTAGTGGTACCTTTTTTTTCATTCGGCTTAGAAAAGACTGTTAAGTTTCATTGATTTTGGAAGATTGTCGAACTCTTAATTCTACAATCCAACTCGTCCAAAAGGTATATGATTTAGTTTAAGTTTAGACTTTTAACAGACCAGTTTGTTTGATCAATGCAATTGCATCATTCCTACCCATGATGGACCTCACAACATGACATGTAGAGTTATCGTCTTGTAAGTAACATGGGTTCAAACCGTACAGCTGTCATGACGTAAGAAGTACACTGCCAACCAAATAGGGCAATAGGAATAGTGTTGAGCTTGCCATGAATTAAGACCAAGGTTTTCAGACCAAACCAAAAACAAATCTTTCCCAGATCATAATATCATAATAAGGTGTCATTTTCCAGACAGGAGCCAAAGCCAAACCCTGCCATCTTAACCATAGGTAACGAGCCCTGATTCATCACTCCAGAGAATTCGTTTCAACTGATGTGAGGTTCACTGTCAACATGCTTTGCACCACCTTAACAAAGCAATGCAATAGGACTTGGTAATCAAAGGCTTATGGGTTGCAGAACGGCCATGAAAATCAAACTGATGAATTTTTTCATGGATGGCGTATATGTGCCATAAGTTGAGTGCAGCTCTTCCGAATTTCTCTGGACAGCACCGTCGTTCTCTATCTCCAAGTTTTGAGGCATATTTTGAAAATCCTTCCATTTTTTTGAATCATATAAACAACAAATAACTTTGAGTAATTCAGCTTGCTAGAATGTCCCTTAAGGGCCGACCATTTCTGTGATACCCGATGATTACATCTTTTTTTCGAAATTAGATAACTCTATACTTCGTGGGATCTTACATGCGACTGATGGATATGTTGATTCCGAGTACATATCTAATGGTGATTAATGATGGACAACGTGACGTATTTTCAGGACCACAGATATCAGCATTTGCATAGATATCCAAATATTTATTGATAGATACTGAGCTACTAATATGAAGTTTTCTAGAGATTGAGATTTACTAACTACTCCTAAATTTGTGAAAGGATACTCAAAATTATTTAAAAATGAGTTGATAAAGGTAAATTGATAGTTATATCAGCATGAAAAATTTGACTCCAATATTTAATTTAGCCTTAATTAATGAGGATTTTATGAGGAATTTAGATAAACCTAGACTGGCTGTCTGTTGAAATTAAGTATTTCTGGTTAGAAAAAAACATTTGTCGTCAGTAAAATTATTATTTTTCATGTCAAAATGACAACTATTGGAACAAAAAAGGCTCGATGTCATATATTTATTCACTCTGTGATGTATCTCCCCTTGGAAGTACATCCCTCGAAGTATCAGCGTGAGCTAGAGGTGTAGGGTTAGCGAAAGAACTCGGATCAAACATTATCTTAATATGATTTTATTAAGATATTCAACTTAAACTTTTAACAAATATAATTGTAATAATTAATATGAGAATCTACGATGACGCAATACGCAACACACAATATATATATTTATATATTATGATCTAATCTAATTAAGACCAATCTCAATAATCCAACCGCCTAATCCTCAATTCTAATAAAGTGTAATCAATCCTACCTTATATTATTCTGTAATGCTACTTGTCTTTATCTGCAATGGTATGCAGCTTGACGGTTAACTTCTAGTCGAACACCAATATGTTAATCCACGACACGTAGAACTCAAATCTTGAACCACGAACTGCAATAATCATCCACTGCCACAACGCACATCTATCGTCTAACATTCCTTTACATTGCCATCCCGCTTACTCTAAGATCCTATATTTAAAGTCGGTTTATTTGCATTTCTTCTTCACATCTCGTTTCCTGGATTTGGTTGGAAAAGAGTTGCCATTAATTCTGGCCCAAAGAACCCAAAGGACTTGTTAAAGAAAAGACGCGTAAGACGTCACAACTCGCGAGAGCTCAAATGACTCATTCTTTGAATAATATTCCAAATTTTGCTCTACAGGATTACCCAAAATAGATTCCTTTGTTTATTGTCATAATCAGGTTTTTTAATTGATCATCTGTTTTCCCATATTAATGTGATCCCTATTACGTCCTTTGCATTAAGAATGTGAAAGTCATAACCATTCCCATTTTAAACATTAAATAATCTCTAAATAATCTCCAGAAGTACTTGTTAGTCATGTGTTCTAGGGACAATTGTTCAGTTTTTGCTGAAACCCGTTATTTTACTCAAATTTCATAACCATGCGGTCCATTGGTAGATATGATGTGCTAGCATTTCATACTTAACTTAATGAAGAAAACAAACCATCAATGCACTCAAGTACCTCAAATTAGCCATTTTGCATAATATACCACAAAACCTACACAGTCACAATTACCCATAACTTCCAAGCAAGTATAATTTCACACTTCGTTAATCGCTTCATTATAATCTTCCGTCAGAATAAACATTGCCCAAGCTACGGTTTCTTTTTCTCCTGTAATTATTCCAGAACTCACCATAATCCACCAACAAAGTTTCGGCAAGCTCCATTTTGTAGGGGAAAGGGAAAAAAATCCCTCACACTTGTCTCTCCAATGGCAACTTGTCTTCTTTAATCACTTTAGTGTATTAGGTAATTAATTCCGATCTCAAACTGAACAGGGAAAGGGAAAAATTGACTCTATCATTCAACGACCGAATTTCTGCCGAGTCCACACACCCCAAAAAAAGGGGGACGGAACGATATTAAGGGAACTGTGGCGGGTGGCTTATACTTGAGCAACATATATCTGACGAAATCCACGCCTCCTTCGCGCTAAAAACTATTTCCAAGTAATTGACTTAGAATTAGCATTTAATAAATCAGCTGGGGGTTGTGGTGGATGGCATAGACGCTTTTTAATTTCTGCATGCACCGAGAGTTTTCTCTCCAGAAAAAGGAAAACGTTGAGAAGGAAATTACCATTTTGGATTTACGAAAAGAGTAGGTTCCTCTCTCTCCTAAAAATATGGCAATAAAGACCCGCTTCTAGGATATTTGCGGTTTGTTGTGAACAAATGGCTTACTCTAACATGGGCCATTAACTATTGTAAATCATCTCTTTCTAATGTACAGTTAAAAAATTATTTGTGAAATGAGGTATTTGAACCTGGTTTTCGGGTATCTACTTTTTATGTGCAATTTCAGGTGTGTTGAGGTAGAGTATTTTTAGTACTGCAATTGTGGAGAGTTGAGAAAAATGAACTTTCAAATTCAGATTTAAAGTTACTTTTCGAGTTTATGAGGGTAGTTTGGATAACTTAAATGCATTATTGTCCTTATCCTTTTAAATGTATTTAAAAGAGTTTTGCACAACATTGGATGTAACTAAAATATATAAATGTAAAGATGTATATATATATATATATATATATATATATATACATATATATATATTGATACAGGAAATATTTCTTAAATGATTTACTTTAATTCAGAAACATTGAGTTGATGTGCTTAAGTAAATCCCATAGATTATTTAAAATTAGTTTATGAGCGTAATGAAAATATAAAGATGCTAGGAAATAAAATTGTAATAAAGAATCCTAAGAAATATCACGAATGGACTGTTTTAGCATTTTCGACTACTATTCCATAATAATTTGGTAATTTATTTAAACTTCAGCTATTAATTAATTACACTTGAACGTTTGTCATTAATAAATTGAAATTTAGGTATTAAATATCGTTGTTATACTCAACCTGCATTATCATTTCAGTTATATAAAGGGAACAGTTTCTAATACTCTTTAAAAATTCATATATAGATACTTATGTATTATACCAGAAAACAGTAGAAAACCAAGTAATGTAAAAAAAATTAAGTCAATTCTTACTTATAGGTCAACAAAGAAAAATTTTATTTTAATTACTTTTGATTTAATAACTACAATTAATGTAAATATGTATATACATATGACAGAATCACAATATTAAGTGTCAAAATAGAAAGCGATTCTCCTTTCAATTTTCCATTTTTCTTTCTATATGTGGTGTCGGACTATTATTTTTGTTTGTTACTTTTTATTCATCAATTAAATTTAATTATTCCAATAAGATAGTATAGTAAAATAAATCACATTCTCTGAAATTGTGTACTCACAGGTGGTATTCGAGGCCACAACCTTTGGATTAGAAGTCCAGCACGCGCGCGCAATCCATTGCGCTACAGGGACACAACAAGTGATTTTACTTCTTACATATGGTGTTGAACTATTATTTTTGTTTGTTCCTATTTATTCATTAATTAAATAGAATTAATGAATTAATATTTGAAAAAACTGTATTAACATCAAGTCTCATCCACTGCAAGTTTAAAAAATTGTATTTGAACTTGAGTGAATGAATAAAAGAAAATTTGTACAATATATATATATATATATATATATATATATATATATATATATATATATATATATATATATATATATATATATATATATAAAGGCAGAGTGTGACTAATAGTAGAAATTTTGAAAAATCAATCTTCTCCTCTCAAATATAAAACCTAAATTATTCTAGAAATATATAGCCTTTTTGTTTTAAATTCAGTTCGTAAAAGACTCTTTTGGCCGCAAAAAATTGGTCTCGTAATTTGCTAAATGATATAAATTGTTATGTTAAATTAATTTATCTTGTTTCATGTTATTCAAACATGCTTCGGATGAACCTCAGTTATATCAATTTCCTATTTTTTAAAAACTTGTATGAAATCCTTATATGTTCCCATAAGGGAATTCAAAGAAGGCCCAAATGAATATTGAAACATGATATCATATTAATATAAGTTTTTAATTGCTTGCAATTGTGAAAATTTCCTCAGATGTAAAAGAGGGATAATTGAAATTTGAACCCAAGCACGACGTTAATAGCCTGATCAGTACTGTCTTTTAGTCTTTGATATTATTAGGTGCATTGCTTCGAAATCAATTTAAAATGTTTTATGGTTTTTAACCTATTGCATCTATTTTACTACTGCTTTGATGCACAGGAAACCGTTTGCGTGTGTTATAATCCTCTGAAATATTTACTTTATTAATTTACTTATGAAATTATAATAATCCCCCCCCCTTCTTTCTGCAAAGAATGCCCTAAATTAATTCACATATCTAGACTTTTACTTTTTAGCGAGTATTCCTTCACCAAAAAGAAAAGAAAATTCTGAAGTCCAGAATAAGAATATGAAGGCCAGTAAGATGTTCAGTCAATAATAAACTCTCAAAAGGTGGTGTGAACGAATATAGTTAACAATCCTTACTATATCAATTACTAATATAACTTTTTCTGCAAATAATTGGATGACCCCGGTAGCCTCGAGGTCAAGACCACGAGCGCTTATGATAGGCGTGCCATAAGTTCGAACCGTAGTGCCTGTAAGATCAGCCTTGTACAAATGCACAGTAAATCTATGGTGTCTGAAAGTTTTCCCGTGAGATTATTTGGTTTGGTAGTTTGGAGAGAGGTGTTCCAGCTCCAATGTTGTCCTCATCACTTGACTAAGGTTCAAAATTAAGAGATCTGTCGCCACACACACACAATAGCCCTCGTATTGCCTTTTTGTCCGACGTTAATTAACACATATTCACTCAAAGAAAATAAATTTTTTAAGCTATGTATTTAATATGATATAGTTTTTGAAGTTTTCTTGCTATATTAGATATAACTTATGAAGGAAGAAATAAATATAATACAATGTCGTTGCTATAATATATATAAATTGCTTTCATTGTTTCAAAATTTAAAGTAACATGGTAATAAAGATGGAGTTTAGAAAAATAGATACTACTCTAATTTTGTCCACTTCCATACCAGTGTAACTTTGTATCAACTTCATTATATGACAAATTTTCAAGAAATTATGGATTTTTTTTTCCCTGAAAAATGGATAAAAAAAGATTCTCTATCATTTACAATTAATTTCTTTTTTTGTAATGGCTACTTTTGTAACTCCCAAAAACATTTGTCTACGACAGTTTGAGATTCATTGTTATATACCAGGGGCCGGCAACCTTATAGCTTTAAACCAGTGGTCTTCAAACTGTGTTCTTCGAAACCCTGGGGTTCCACGAGTCAGAATAAAAAAATCGAGAAGAAATAAATATATATGCAGAATGGATCCACGTTCTCTACGAAATTTTCATAGTTACAAGTATCTGAAGCTCACCCCCTCCCTATTCAATAAAATTTTAAATTTTATTTACAAATAACTTTATTTTGCAACACTTTTCAATTTTTTATTATAATACAATAAAAGAATATTAAAACACACATTTTGTCTGTATATATATATATATATATATATATATATATATATATATATATATATATATATATATATACTTCCTACTATATTGTAAATATTCTATTGTTTACTATGTCGGGTTCCACGAAATAATTTTACACTCGTTAGTTAGCACAATGTCTTGCAAAACTGAATAGTTTTCTAATAGAAAATGCACTTTTTTGCACTTGCGGAAAAGGCACCTATAACGAAGGAGAGGAAACAATTTATCAACAGGTTCAATGCTAAAATCTAGATTTAAGTAAGAACAGTTTTTAAATTTTAAGTTGCAAATGCATGCAAAATACGCGGGATTTCTCCCACAGCTATAAACATTCTAAAGCCAGAATGTTTCAGAACATTGTATTTAAGTGAAATATATTTTTCAACGTAAGTAACTACAAAAACTAAGTATAAAAACAAATTAACCTCAGAATGTGTAATGTGATTGCATTTAATCTCAATTGACCTAGACTTTGAGAGATAGTGTGAAAAAAAGCAAGCACATATCCCAGTTACTAAATATAATGCATGGATAGGTGCCGCTCGGATCACAAATTAATATTATTAATGAATAAATTTTAAAAAGAGTGCGTGTGCTTATGACCGCCCTATAGAAGTGATAACTTTAAGTTTTGTAATAGTATTTCAGGGATTAGTTAGGTGAATAAAAAAAACAAGGGGGTATAAGTATTGTCCTATAAAACTATTTATTCATATGTCTGTACTCATAAAGTAATATTTTTTGCGAAATAAACAATAATATTTGTGAATTAATTGTATTCTAAGAAGGAAACAAGAGGTTCATGGTAGCTGAAATAGGTTATAAATATGTATACTTTAGATTCAAAATTATTTAAATATGTAAAAAAATCTCCGTCAAGCGTTGTTTCGTACTTTGTCGTGCATTTATTTGGTTCATTTGACGTAATTAAATTGAATTTTGATTTTAAAAAATCTACTAAAGGCTTTGATTTGTCTTTTGAGAAATATACATTAAAATCTCCACTTAAAATAATAGACAATTTGTTCAGAAGTGTTGATCCGGCTTCAGTGCAGGCGACTAAATTTTTGTGAATGAATTCGATAATTTTCTTTACAATTTGATTTGATGAAATATAAATAGTAACTATTGGAATTTTTTGTCTATTTTCTGCTCTACATTTCGCTGTGCAAATTTTTCCAATACATAACTAATTAAACCAAAATGATTCAGTAGCATTGTTACCATTGTTACGAGGTTACAAATCCGAGCGTAACAATGCTTGGCCTTTTAAAATGCATCATTCAAGTTCACTCTCCAGCAAAACGCACATAAAGAAGGTATCACTTCAAAAATTAGATTAGATTTGTTTAATTTAATATAATTTTTTTAATTGCCTTTACATAAAGCGCTTATAAAATGTTGATCTACTTTAAACATTATTTTGAGGTATATTCTTCGAAGTATGTGTATGGAATGAGGTTCCACGAAAACACTCTCTGGTTCTAGGGGTTCCACGAAAGCACCTTCAAGTTCTAGGAGTTCCGTGAGTTGAAAAAGTTTGAAGTCCACTGTTTTAAATAATTCGATTCTGGCGGCAATGCATGTAGATTAGGATATAGAAGTGAAAAATGTGGAACCAAAATCAAATGACCAGATTCGTCACCAACAGCCCTCGTGTTGTTTTACAGAGTAACGTTAACACTAAAAACTGTAAGAATGTCATTGAAGAAGAAATGCTCTAAAATATTTAAACTTAAAATGAAGAGACACAAGGAAATTATTTATTTGAATTTTAAAGTTAATAAAAAGATCTGAAGTACCACAGTCTTAAATATTACAAAAGATGAAGAATGGGAAGGGGGATATTTTCTCAAGAATTTTCTTGTTTTAATTTCTAAGTCAAAATGAAATGAAAATTTAGTTAAATAGTTTAGAAGAGACATATAGGAGTATATTATAGTAATAAATATTTTCATTGCATATAGTGATAGTTTTATCGTTTTTTTTAATTCATCTGCAATTCGATCAAAACTCAAATAATATAAAAATACAAACGTTTCTGTTTCCAAATATTTTCTTTGGTTCAAAAGAAATACAAATTTTCTCTAAAGCTTAAAGAAATTTGATTAGAACTTACAGGGTGTCCCCGAATGCAGTGTACTAACTTGGATGGGAGGTAGAGAACATTGTGAGGAGCCATAATTACATAGGAAAGCATGGGCAGAAAGCAATAGGTGTCGCTCTACATGAACCTACAAAATCTGCGCATATGGTTTCCTCATCACAGACATGTACTACGTGTGATGAACATGAATCATTACATGAACGCCGAGTTGGCAGATATCCACTTCATCTACGGCCTAGACAACGGAAATGAACGTGTTGCTGTTTGATTGTATGGGGAACGATATCCAACGAGGCGCAACCAAAAACACCAAACGTTCGCTGGGGTGCATCAGAACCTGGAGGAACATGGATCTTTCAGAGTGGCAACTGACGACCCGCCCGTCAATTCTGAAATGGATCTGGTGGCACGAATATCCAACGCTGCTGCTATTATCTGTGGAACGCCCAGTATTTTAGAACATGTCCGCTAATCCATGTCACGTCGGTGTCGTACTTACATACATGCCAATAGCAGCTACTTCAAACACTCCTGTGATGCTTTAAAGCAGGGGCGGGCAGACTCTCCAGGGTGTCTGTCTACTAATTTTTTCAATCTGTAGTGGTCCCCCCAACGTCAGTGGCGCTCACAAGAAGGTGGGGACTGGTCCGGACCATCCACCACAGCCCTTGATTTTTTACCGATTGATTTTAATTCCATGTATACCCAGTACGATCAACTTAATTAAGTAATTGTTATTAATATTTTTTTTATTATTTAATGCTGAGTATTTATTTAGCAATTT